TATATATATATATATATCCAAGACTAGATATAGTATACCCTTATAATGCACACCCATATTATATGTGCATTGATTTCCTGTTTCTCTCATTTATCTCTTTATGATGATTATTTTTTTTTTATTAGTTTCATTTACTTTATTTTTTTAGTTTTTATAGTTTAAAATATTTTTTTTGAGTTTTTATACTTATCTTTGTTAACTACTTTTAGTTCTATAATTTAAAATAAGTCTTTTTAATTCTTATAATTGTAGTTTTATAATTTTTTAAGTTTTTATCATTAATTTTTTTTATAATATTGTCTTTTTTTATTGACATGATAAAAATTTTTACCTTCACAAAATTAGAGATTTTCATCATATTAATGCAAAAGAGAGAACAAAAAAATAATGACAAAGACTAAAAAATTACAAAACTATAAGTATAAAGACAAAAAAAAATATTTTTTAAATTATAGAAACTAAAAAAAATTGAAAAAGATGAATATAAAAAATAAAAATGTCAATTTTAAACTATAAAAACTAAAAGATATAATAAATAAAACTTTAAAAATTAAAAGAATATTTTAACCTTTTTCTTGTTATAATTAGTTTAGTGATAAAAATAATAATTTTATTTTTTTCTCCCTTATTTAAAAGATTATGAAAATGTGTATTTTTAACATTACTTCTTAAACTCTCTTCAATTAACATTGTTATTTTTGTTGATATTATAAATAAACTTGGATACGATAATATCTATTATTCTCATAAAAATTTAATAATAAATAAGAAATATAAAATTAGTCTATCATAATTTAAATTTATAAATCAATAAAATATATTATGTATATACGTGTTGACTTTTCATCTGTCTGCATTCTGAACTCAACTGACATTGCGCACTGTGGTCTCCACTCCAGCTCCAGCGCATCCATGCTCACATTTCATCTGCATAATGTACTTTTTCTACTTTTTTATCTTTTAAAAATTATCATAAATTTTTAAAGAACGATTATGTATTTCGAATCATCCCTCAAATATTAAAATATTAATATTTTAAATAAAATTATTATAAAATAATTATTTAATCTAATATTTTATAATTTAAATTATTCGAAATGTTTTTCGGAATATCTTTTCAAATATTCTATTATTTTTCATTTTTAAATCTTTTCACCTTTTCATGATGTAATTTTTTAGTTTTTTTTTTAATTCTTAAATTTTTCATACCCCTGCACGTATCAGCTATTATATTGTGGAAAACAAAAACAATAACTCAAATAGGATTCGAACAACCCATACACTTTCAACATCTACCAAACCTCGTTCACATTTTTTTTAAAGAATTTTTACCGTACCCCCATCACTGTTTGAAAGATTTTGGTACAGTTATGTCATATTACTAATCTTGATTTGTATCATATTATTAAGATTTTGGTAGCCATGCACCTTTTATTGAAATCGTCAATGCCTATCTCCTACATCCGTCGTTTCCATCTATAATGTCTATTTCATAATTTGATAATCTCTCATTTTACCTCTCTCCTCACGATTTAAGAAGAGAAGATGTTTAGTTCGTTCCAAAATTATTTACATTGCTCAGTTTTAACTCAGTTGGTAGTGAGAGAATTATAATAAAAATCCTAAGATTAGTTAAATGATTTAGGTGGATTCATGAATTTCTATTGAGTAGAAGAAAAATATGGACTCAATGATTTACATGTTGTAGGGGAAGAAATCACACTAATCGACTGTCTTTATCTGTTAGAGACTACACTAATTAATCATATTTTTCTTTTAGAAATGTTGATATTGAGAGCTAAGCTCTGTATCCTGGACTATTTAATTAATCTGTTAGATTTTAGAATCTTAGGTGCATTATTTATGAATGACACGCTACGCTACCAATATATATTTCATATGAACTCTTAGGCTGAATTTTTTCATAATTTCCTCAGAAGAATTCTAATACCTCCTACAAAATGTTTCTCCTAATAGCTTTAAAGAAAGTATTGAATAATGTTTTATAAGTTTCCAAGACATATTTATTTTTACATTAATATTTTATTTATAAAGTGTTGGGAACATTTGTAAGAAGACATAACATCACTCTCCTTAGCATACTATTGTCATCTTTTAATTATGCGTCAAATATAATGTAAAACACTGGCTTTTGCTTGGGGATGGAGGGAAAGATTTGAGAGTATAAGCTTTAGGAGAAGCAAAGGTGTAGTCAAAAAACTATGGTGTGTGCCAATACACACAATTTTTTAGACTACTAACCATAATGATATAGGTTGTTGTGCTTATGGCGGATAACGGGCAATCTATTGCACTCTTGATTTAGCTAAGATGAGAGTTTGTAAGGAAGGAGATTATTAGGAGACCTTCTCCAGAATGGGAATTGGTTCAAGATAAGAATTTGTTTGGCTAATTCGATTGTGTGCATTAAGCTCACCCATGATTCCATCTTTGCCGATTACTTCATCAATTCTCATATATCTCCTTTACAGGTATCTGCCATCTAACTCAGATGCATTTTCATAAGTACTTTTAATTGTTTTTAACCAAGTCTTAATCTTGTGTTATAAAGAATTATATTAAAGGTTAGCATATGCTATTATTGTGAAACTCCAATTTTAATTGAAGAATAATACTAAAAACACTTGTAAAATTACATCTAAATTTTTTCTTGTTTGAGTGATAAACAAGGATACCTATATAAAATTTCACACCTTTAATTTATGTCCTGAAATATATAAGCTAAGGATATGAGAGTTAAGAAAAATAATTTGTTGACTTTGTTAATTATTATTATTAGAAATGACTAAACTTAACCATTATTATTATTATTATTATTATTATTATTATTATTATTATTATTATTATTATTATTATTATTATTATTTATCCTAGAACGAGAATTTTCACTTCCCTTTTATCTTGTTAAGTGTGGAGTAAAAAATGCAAGTCTTAGAGCTAAGAAAACTAATTTGTTGACTTTGTTAACTATTATTATTAGAAATGACTAAACTAAACCATTATTATTATGTATATATCCTAGAGCGAGAATTTTCACTCCCCATTATCTTGTTAAGCGTTAAGTGAAGAATGGAAGTCTTCAAAATGACCTCCATTAGCCTCTTCTCCTCTTAGTTCTTTCGAGCGTAAAAACGTGAAATGAGAGCATAAGAAAAAAAATTAACATATTCTCTTTAATTTTAAAACTAACTAAACCTCTTTATAAACCAATCAACAGTTACTTACACTAACTCAAGTTGCATCTTCCTTCACTCAAAATACTCATAATAATAAAAATAAAATAAAAATAAAAATTATATTATATTTTGATCCTCATATAATTAATTAAATAAATATCAAAACATTTAAATTTAATGTAAAATGCTCAATAATGCTAATTTTAATTTTATAATGAAACATATATAATTAATTTAATTACGAAAATGCAAGGTGTTACACCAGGGAGTAAACTTTGCCTATCGCACTTGGAAAACCAAAGTTGTCGTTCAACGTGAATTAATAAAACAAGTTCTACATAAATCATGATCTTTACACATATTGATTCTACAACTATTACAAATTTAATCAAGTAAGGGGTGCCTTATGTCTATTTAATTTCTTACTCAAACATGTAATTATCATTATTCAATTATTTCTTCGATTAAGGGTTTGGATACATCCTAAAGATTTTCAGAGAACTCACAAGTACTCATGGATTCATACTCAAATCAATATCTAAGATTAGAAACTTATCACATACACATATTATTCAAATCACAATATTCACACATGGAAATTTCATATAAGGATTAGATTTAATCCCTCACCTATACATCATAGGGATTGGGAGTCAATCCTACAACCCAATAATTAACCCACATCCCATAAAGATGTTTTCACTCCCCCGCTACCTTAATGGACTCTAAAATTAGGGTTTTAATCTCCGAGCTCCTCTCCACTGCCTTAGGTTCGTCTCCCTCTTCATATTACAATTTGCGCAACTAGATTAAAAGTGTGGCAGATCTAGTACTACTAACATATTTAAACAAAACAAGTAGCCTATTAGTAAAAGGCCAAATTAATTTAACCAAGATAAATAACAACTATTACCTTATCTTATCCCTTATCTCCCAAATAATTAATTATAAAATATTTTATTAATAAATTTTGAAAAAGTGGGATGTTACATTTTAATTTAGAGTTTTAACATGTAGTAGGTTTATTTTATATTAGGATTATTTTCTACTAAAAAGGATTTATTAATTTTGTCATATTTCTAGTGATTTTTTTTAACAAACAAATGTAAAATATTTAATTTTAAAATTGTAAATAATTTGATAAATTAAAAATGTTTTATAAATATGATAATTATTATGGTGATCTTTTTTGTAACTAAATTATTTAAAACCTAAAATTTTCATATAATTTGATAAATTCAAAAAATCATTTTAAAATTATAGTTTAGAGTTTTAAGTTCTAGGGTTTATTGATTTTTTTTATATTACAATTATTTTTTGGTGAAAAATTTAAAATTTGTTATTAATCTAGGGATTTTGTATTTTTACTAACATA